GCCTCCCTTCTTCGATAGCGTCTTGCACGAGATTCCTGAAAAGAAAACATTGAGATGTTTTATGGCCCAGAAAATTATGATATTTACAAAAGCCTCTTTTCTTTCTTTGATCAAGAGGAGGTACTTTTACCCCTGGGGGTACTATCATTTGGCCATCTTTTACAAGTAAGTCAAAAATTTCATCACATTTTGTAATATCAAAACTGTAAGTCTTTTTGGGGAACCTATCGTTGGTCCTTTCCGGACCAGTGGGATTTTTTCCACTTGAGGGGACTAACAGTTTGCAAGAGTATGGTGGCCCTTGTTTTAGTTCCGCTAAATCGACCTCGCTTTCTTCGACGGTTATAGTTTCGTCGAAGGTTTCTGGATCTTCATCATCCATTTCGACATATGCTATCCTCTCTCTTTTATGAATTTTTGTCGCCTTGGCTTTTTCAGCCTTAAGGCGTTCTACCTGTCGAACTCTATCGGCCAATTGGGCCATGTCTCTCAGGTATTGAGTGTCTAATTTCTTCCTAATGGAATAATCTAAGCCCCCTGCGGCTATTTCGACTAACTCATGTTCTGGCACTTGCGTAAAGCATCTTGCTTTGAGCAACCTAAACCTATTTAGATATTCGTCTATAGGTTCAGTGAAACGTCTCTTTACACTGGTCAATTCTTTCAGGCTTATCTTGGTTTGTCCCATGTAGAATTGCTCATGGAACAATCTCTCCAACTGGATCCAATGATGGATCGAATTGGGGGGAGAGTTGTGAACCAAGTAAACGCGTTTTTTGTTAAAGAACTTGGGAAATACTTAATCCTCAGGTTTTCGTTGTTTGAAATATCTCCTGCTTCGATCAAGTATCTCGCCACATGTTCGACAGTAGATTCTGTCGTGTCCCCTGAGAATTTAGTGAACTTAGGGACTTTACATCTAGGAGGTAAGTCTGTTTGTAACACATATTCTGACAGTGGGGATGTGAAGTTGGGCCTACGAAAGCCCATATTCATCCTGTTTTGTGTCATGATTCTTTCGATCATGGCTGCCAGGTTATTTTCCAAACCCATATTCTGGTATTGGATGTGCTGAACTACTTCATCAGCATTTTGGTTTCTGTTGACTATCCTTACCTCCGGGGCTATGACCCTAGGTTCTTCGACCCTGGGTTGCTCCAATCGTGCCCTAAGGTTTTCTTCGACAGGCTGCTGGACTTGGTTAATAGTGGTTTCTTCCTCTAGAAGTATACCTTGGTTTCCCCTTATTTGCGCCCTTTGGGACTGTCGAATAGGTTGGGGTACCCCAAAGAAATCAGCCAGACGCGTCATTTGCGCTGTCATCTGCTGATTCGACTGGGTGGTATTTTGTATCAGAGGGTTCAACACCGTACTTAAAGTTTGTGCCAACAGTTGAACCATATTGTGATTGCTTTCGTCCATTTGTTGCCTCAAGACTGCTGTCGAGGCATTTGTAAGGCCATGCGCTACTTGGGACGTTCCTCCTAAGAGTTAGGTCCTATTTCTGTTCGCCATACCAACTCCAGAACCTTGGAGTGGCGAAGAGGCACTCACTAAAGGGTCTGAAAAAGTGGACGCATCGTTCGTCAGGCTAGCCAATTCAGACGTTGGCATGCCATAGAGTGGTTCTCGATTTGGACCGCCTGTCAAAAATCCTGGGGGAACATAAGGCCTAGTTCCTGGATTTCCCCTTGGTGGGGGAGTTCCCAAAGGCACTCTGGGGCCAGTGAACGGAGGTAATGGCCCCGTTTGTGTGACCGTTACTGCTGGTGTTGAACCAGCGGTTATCGCTTCACTTACGGTTGGGATAACCGTTGTTCCCACATTCGTTTGTGGGATTTCGCTATTGTTTGGCGGATTCGCCATCACTTCTCTTCTTCTGGCAGTATTGGTATTGTTAGTGTATATTCTACCACTTCTCAATAACATGCAATACTTCTCGAAAAAGATGATATTCTGTATAAATACGGTTAACCTTCAAAATCAACACAAGGTCCCACCAGGTGTGCCAATTTGTTTACCGTGGAAATTGGTAAACAACCGCTGATCCTCCAAAAGGTTACTTATTTGGTGACTCACAGGATCGATCAGATTGATCCTAAGACATGGTTGATTTTTGGGGTTTTGACTAAGTTTAATGATGGTTGATGACAAGAAAATAGTTACACTTTATGTAAATTGCATGAAGAAAACTTGGTAGAATAAAAGAAAGCTTTAAATAAAGGCTTCGACTGGGAAAAGTAAATGAAAAGCAATAAAATTCTGGAAAATAAATGACTTTGATTAAGTTAAATGGTGTTTCACACATACATTCTCAACAATTCTTTCGCTCACACTGGGTACTTGAATCTAAATGAGTGACTTGTATATAATTGTGAACACACGCGAAAAACTACGTGAACAACTAGTATTTATACTAAACACATCTCAAGTAACCGTCGGGCAGTTACGCTGCTTCGAGATGACTCCACTTGGTATGCTCACAGCATTCAACGCTCCTGATCTTGGCACGTTGCACTTGGTAACCGCTGGGAACCGTTTTCCCTCCAAACATTTGAATCTCAAACCGTTCCACTCTGAGCATCGAATACCTTTGTCGAGAAGCACCTTCGACGTCAAAGGTAACAAGATTCCTACTTAGAAGAAATTCTCCAAGTACCTTGCCATCTTCTGATGAGCATTTCGACAGAATCAGATGGTCGAAATCGTCCCTCATGATTAATGGTTTATATTAATAAAAACAAGGGTGTCGAGTTTAGGAGCCAACACCTTGTAGAGCCGAGTGGATCCATGAGATAGAAGAACTCACTGAGATTAGTATCTCTCCCCAATTATGTTGCCGAGTTTCAGGTAGCTCGAGGCAGGAGAAAGATAAAGACAAGATTGTCCAAAAACTTCTAAATATGCTGATATTTCTTTTGTTATCAGTTGTGTTGTTCTTAGCATTTTGTTAGACATTTATGTATATCATGTAACATACTTTTGTATATTTTATGTATTTGGACATGAGTTTTGTTAGACATTTATGTATATCATGTAACATACTTTTGTATATTTTATGTATTTGGACATGAGTGTACAATGCGGTTTAGATACTTATGTATGTATCAGTACTAATTGACTCCTTATATTATACTATTCTAGATGTCTGTTATAACTGGGGGTTACAATTTGTAAAATAGCAGGTCAATTCTCGACCCGACTTTAAATATATTTGTTACAATTGAGGCGCACTTCTCTCTTATTATTTATTATAAAAAATATGTATGCCAACAGAAAAAAGTTTAACATGTACCGACAAAGGTGATAAAAAAAAGTTTGGCATGTACTATATTAGATAATTGTGATGTTTGTGTTTCCCATATTATTTTGAAATTGGATTTAAATTGTTATTATCAAAAAATTTATATGTTTTAATAGTTTATGAGGATTTTAATTATTTAATATATGATTTTTATTTGTTAATTTAAATTTTTTATTGTTATTAATATTTTTGAGATATTGATCAACTATAGAAAACAATTTTTTATTAATTTTCCTAATATAAAAATTATATAAAACAGAGAAAATGAAGGTATTGATCAAAATATTAAATAATAACGTGAATAAATTTACTGTTGATTTAAATATTTTTATAAATAATTTCAAAATGAAAATATTTATATACTGAAAAAACTATATCGTTGATTCAAATATTTTTATATATAAAAAAATTATAAGCACAAATCTATTATCTCTTTTAAAAACTAATAAGATACCCGTGCGACGAGTAAAATTCACTTAGATAAAATATAAAATATACTTAGATATACACGTAATTTTAAAATGAATTTCTTAATTATAAAATAAATCATAATCATATAAATTTAGTTAATTAAAATAAAATATGTATTGTATTAATAGTGACCCGTGAATTAAAATATTTTATAATTTAAAAAGTGATATCAATATTTAATTCTCAAAATTTTCTATTTAATGTCAATAAATAGTAATAAAAATATATTTTGAGATAGAAAGTAAAAGAATGCATATTTCTTAAATTAGATTGATAACGTTATTATTTGTCTGTAATAAAAATAAGAATTTTGCCTTTCAAATAAAGATAATTGTTAATTAAAATAAAATAGATAATATGATATAGTGGTCCGTGAGATGGAAAGTATATTTTGTGATAAAATAAATTGTTAATTTTATTAAAATTATAAAACACATTAATTAATATTTTTAGTGATAATAAATAAGTAAAATTGATTAAAAACATGATAAAAACAAAAATAAAATTTTACAAACTCATATTTATTTAAATAAAAAATAATAATATAATTATAGTTCAGAAAAAATATATATTCTTTATTTATAAATTTAGCTTTTTAATTATATGTATTAAAAATAATATATTTTTAAGATATTATTAATATTTATTAATAATAAATTTCAAAATTTATTATGACAAACTTTAAAATTGATATTATTAATATTTATTAATAAAAACTTTAAAAATATATATTCTTTATTTAAAAATATTTATTTTATAATAATAATGTTGGTTTGTTATTGTTTGTTATTAATATTCCATGCATAATAAAGTTAAAAAATCACATAAATGAGTTTTCCTTTTATAATATTTGTATTAAATTAATTTTTTGGTAATAGATTAATGCAAATGTTTGGCAATGTGGATTTAAAATTTATATTTAATTGATTACTGTTTTATTCTTTTATAATGTGTTTTTTAAAAATTGCAAAAGAATATTATAGAGTGTTTATACTTATTCATTTTTAATGAATTGAAAGCTGGTAACAAATTTTTCTTATTAAACAATTTAATCTCTATTTTATTTTATTTTTATTATATTTTAAAAACAAATGTGAGTGCCGTACTTAAGGATATTTAATGAAAGAGTAATAATAGCTATAGTGCATATTTAAATCCCATCTCAAGTTACTGTTACAAGACCTGGCAAGACGTTTTTGTTTTACCACACATCCAAATTTTAAATATGAAGAGGCTACACCATCATTTATCTTTCATTTTCATGAATGTTCCCAAACTCAACAAACACCAAAACTATGGCTACCCACTTCTTAATAATATCAGGATCAGGTTAACATCCACTGCCACTCTTAGCTTGGAAATGAAGCGCTGCAATTTCTTCATCTCAAGGCTATGTAAAGAAGGGAAGATCGATGAAGCACGCAAGGTGTTTGATGAAATTTCTGAAAGGGATGTTTGTTTGTGGACTACAATGATAAGTGGGTATATCAAGGGTGGCATGATTAAGGAAGCTAGGAAGCTGTTTGATAGATCGGATGCGGAGAAGAATGTGATTGTTTGGACTGCTATGGTTAGTGGGTATGTTAAGATGAATCAAGTTGAGGAAGCTGAGAGGTTGTTTTATGAGATGCCAGTTAGGAATGTTGTGTCTTGGAATACTATGATTGATGGGTATGCGCGAAATGGTCGAACTGAACAGGCTTTGGATTTGTTTAGAAGAATGCCCGAGAGGAATGTGGTTTCTTGGAATACGATCATGACGGCGTTGGCGCATTCGGGGAGGATTGAGGATGCGCAGAGGCTTTTTGATAAGATGCGGGAAAGGGATGTGGTTTCGTGGACTACTATGGTTGCGGGTTTGTCGAGAAATGGGAGAATTGATGATGCTCGGGAACTTTTTGATAGGATGCCGATTCGTAATGTGGTTTCTTGGAATGCAATGATTGCGGGTTATGCGCAGAATGGGAGGTTGGATGAGGCTTTAAAGTTGTTTGAGAGGATGCCACAGAGGGATATGCCTTCGTGGAATACAATGGTTACGGGTTTCATTCAAAATGGGGAATTGAATAGGGCGGAGAAGTTATTTGATGCAATGCCACAAAAGAATATCATTACTTGGACTGCTATGATGACAGGGTATGTACAACATGGTCTAAGTGAAGAAGCATTGAAACTATTTAACAAAATGCAAGCTAATGATGGATTAAAACCAGCCACCGGAACTTTTGTGACTGTTTTAGGTGCTTGTAGTGACTTGGCCGGTCTTATCGAAGGACAACAAGTCCATCAAATGATTAGTAAAACAGTTTTTCAGGAGAGCACACAAGTGGTATCAGCGCTGATAAACATGTACTCAAAATGTGGGGAGTTGCATGTTGCTAGGAAGATGTTTGACGATGGATTATCCGGGCACATGGATCTGATATCTTGGAATGGTATGATTGCCGCCTATGCACACCATGGATATGGCAATGAAGCAATAAATCTATATAATAAAATGCAAGAATTAGGTTTCCAAGCCAATGATGTCACCTTTGTTGGACTCCTCACAGCTTGTAGTCATGCTGGTTTGGTTGACGAGGGGCTTAATTACTTTGATGAGCTTTTGAAAAACCAATATATACAAGTAAGAGAAGATCACTATACTTGTCTGATTGATCTTTGTGGTCGTGCAGGAAGGCTGAAAGAAGCTTTCAATATCATTGACGGACTTGGGAAAGAGGCATCATTATCTGTTTGGGGTGCACTTCTAGCTGGATGTAACATGCACGGGAACACTGATATTGGGAAACTAGTAGCTGATAAAGTTTTGAAAATCGAACCAGAAAATGCAGGCACCTATTCATTACTCTCAAATATGTATGCTTCTGTAGGGAAGTGGAAAGAAGCTGCCAATGTTAGAATGAAAATGAAAGACAAAGGGTTAAAGAAGCAGCCAGGTTGTAGTTGGATTGAAGTCGGAAATACAGTGCAAGTATTTGTAGTCGGTGATAAATCACATTCTCAATCTGAGGATCTAGGGTATTTACTTCTTGACTTACATATAAAAATGAAGAAGGCCGGGGACATGCCAGATGATGATTTGTTGGTTGATGTGGAAATTTAATTGTCTAAAATATAAATCCTTCTTGGTTATAGCCTGGATTATGCAGTGGATTTGAAATGTGGCAAAGTTTACTACCACTGCTGGTACATAACACATTTAATTTTCTGACTAAAATCATTGATTGTTAAGTCTACTCTGGTTTCTTTCCTCTCCCAAACAAACTCATTAACATAGAAACTGCTTTCTTTTTTGTAGGCAAATGTTAATAGTTAGTTTGTTCGGAGTAGGGGGGAATGTTAGTAGCAGAGATTTAAACCCTGGACCTTCTTGCATATAATTCCTTCAATATCACGACCCCAGCCACTGAGCTTTTCCTTCGGGGACTTTAAACTGTTATTTAAATTACTGAAGAGTGGCTTATGTCTTCAGTGTTTCTGTTCAGGTGATCACAGACAAAGAAAACTGAAAGAATGACTGGCTTCTTAAATTTTCAGTCTTAGTTTACAAAATAGTATTTTATTTGGAGATTGATACAGTATACTGTATAATGTTTGTTTAATTGCAAAATAAAAAAGAACCTTCCTTGTGAGATTTTGCATTTGAACTTGGAATATGTTGATCATCTAATAGTACCGAGTCTGAGAATTTATGTTTTTGCAGAGTAATTTCAAGTGAAATTCTTTGCCACTTTTTGATTACTTGGTGGCTTCGTGTGAGATAATATGATGTAGGAGCAAGCAAAGAGTTCAAAATTCAAAGGCTTCACTAGCAGACTCATATACTCGATCTTGTATTTGTTGCCCAAAATGTGCTTTTTAGATGAAACGACTGTGCTATTGAATCAGTTTATGGAAAGCACGGGTTGTTGCTAATTGGGCTGATTTCAAACAAAACACTTCAAGATGCAACACAATCTTGTCCTGTCTATTGCATTTTGTAAGTGTATTTACCATTATGCATTTGGCTTCACAAGTTTGGAATCACTAAAATGCATAAATTGCTAATTATAAGAGATGCTAGCATATTTTTATTGGTTGAGTTGCAAAAAAACTTCTGTGCGAGTCAGATCTGATATTTGAAATCCATTTTATCAACTATACTAATCAATTGTTGATTCCTTGCAAGGTTGTTGATAATTCTATATTTTGTTTCAAGAAGCATATTTGTTGTTAGTCATTTTTCTTATGCTGTTTTAATCTTAATTGCCTGACAACTGTTTATTATATTCCTTTTATAGGGCATGCTCTTAATTGTACATATTTTGAAAATTTCATTTATCTACAACTTATCCACGTGGAATTATCATGTTTAAGAAACAGCATAGTATAGGACTTACACAGTACTGAAATCCTCTAATCTAGTTATTTCCTTCTTCAGAACCATATCTGGTGTGCTAAGATTCTAGCAGATTTAACTATGATCTTGCAAATGCTGTTTGTTGTTATCCTTTGGGTGTTTGACTTGTGCAAAAATTAAAGATTGTGTTAATTGCTTTTGGTGCTTCCTCGGAGGATGGTCGTAGTAACGGCGGTCACTAGCTTTCCACCAATGCATCGTTGGCAGTGTTAAAGGTGATGCCAGTTGAGGTACATAGATTACAGGAAGCCAGTGTTAGAGGTACTAGAGGTGACCGTCAATCGTGAAGATGAAGTTGACCACGATGAATCAGAAACCGAGTTCAAACAAATCAATGGAAAAGTGACAGAAAAGTTGAAAACAGTTAAAGAGGAATTGAGTTTGGAGAAGATGAGAGAGCTGCAGAGAATGAAACAAGTAAATTTGGTCGAGCCACCACATCCGTCGAAACTGCTGATGCCGATTGGTTGGTGATGCTTAGAAAGATCCAAATCGAGAGAATTCGTGCCACATCAATGGTGAAGATCATCTACGAGGAATCTTGTATGGAACGAGTACGAAAGAAGCATGAGTTAATTGATGCCACCACTGCCAGAACAGCCGGATTCTGGCCGACCTGCAGCAGCTCTATCTGAGCCAGAACCGCCAGACCCTAGTATATTTGTGAAAGATCCGGCCACAAACCCACCATCTCCAGAACCTCCGTACGCGGGCTCACGTAGTGTGAGCTGTCCACAGTCGCCAGCGGCTATCCTCCTTTCGGCCGGGAACAAGTTCGTCTCAATTGAGCCACTTTGTTTGTTGTGAAACAGATCAGGTGTGTTTCATAACTGCTGAGGGAGAGAATGATCTATATAAACTAAGGGTAATGTCAAATGTGTGAGTTGTGTCACATTCTAACCCTACTGGATTAGACCAATAATAATTTTGTAAGTGGGAGAAAGAAATTAAAAAGTGGGTTGGCTTAATTTCTTTCTATTTCAGTGGGGCCTCTCCAATTTAATTGGGCTCATGTTCCTTTTGAGCAAGTGCTGGTGGGTATATGGTGTGTGAAGGGCTGCATGACAGATAAGGGAGTCCAAGAAACACAACCCTTCTTGTTATAAATAATGCAGATGAAGAAGGATAATGGCATTCATTAGGAAAGACTGTTTGATGCAAATGAACGCAGCTTAAGTGCAGTTGCTGGGTTAGAAATTGAGGCCCTACTTACCATGAGCAGCTTGCAAGTCACCAAAGGAATTGGATATGAACAATTTCAGCAAGACAAATACTGCTACAACGAACAAAAAGGCAGCACCTAGAACAATAGCAAAGTGCCATTGCAATTCAAACCCTTGAAGCTTGAATGCCTCAAGTGCCATTGCAATTCAAACCCTTGAAGCTTGAATGCCTCTTGTGCCAACTAATAGAATTCTCCCAAAAACTCTTCTTGTGCAAGAGTACTTCAAAGTAAAACAAGTATCCCCGGGTTCCACTGTTGGAAACTTGACGAATTGGCTTGGAACAAAAGGGCCATTTGCACTGTCTCACTCCTACTGCCTTTGAGTGACAGCTTGTTATTAGTTTCAGTCATCCAAATGGGATCAGAATATTTGTGAGCGGTTCAGAATGCCCATTTTGTGTTCGGTAAAAGGCGATTTTGCACTGTCTCAACCTTGATAATGCGGGGATTTCCAATGATTACTGCATTGGTTATTGGGCCTGCTACTTGATTGGACGAGGTAGGGTTAACACACTAGTGAAAACAAACATCATACTCCCTTGGACTATTATTATTAGTAAATATTTTCCTTTTAGATTTATTGAGTAATAAATGTATCTGGTCTATATAAAAGACTAAATACATTCATTATTCAATGAATCTAAAAGAAAAATATTTGCTTATAATAATGGCGGAGTAGTATCTCTCTAGCTTTGAAAGTTGTTTACAACTCTTGGTTGCAGCAACAGTTACATGGTATATGATTGGAAAGAGTCAATGGAAAGCTAGAACTGAAGTGGAGTTCGTGAGCACTTATTTAATATTCTCAACAAATGTATATTTCAATTGAGGAAATGGAAAATAGCTGCCAAATTTAGGATCAAATCCCATTCCAAATACTAGCTTAAAGAGTTGATCAATAATTAATTGGTGTATATGGTAAGAGAGATTTGGATCAACAAGTAAAAATGATAAAATTCAGTTAGCACATAATAATCTGGCTTGTGCACCCCTCAAGATGGCGGCGCAAGTTCTGTGTCAATTACATGGTAATCCAAAAAAATTAAGGATTTTCTTTTCACTAGTTTTCTAGCGCATCACGCTAAATTCTAAAAATTTATCTTAAAATCGAAAATATATTTTTGATAGGTACCTTGTTAGATATATATTGTATAAAAAAATTGGGTGTAAATAGAAAATAAACGTCTAGTTGCAATTGTAAATGTATTTTCGGTTGCAACCAAACACACACAATGGAATCCAAACTCAAGTCAATATAGGAATCAAAATTAAATTTTTGATTGTAATCAGATGTATATTTCCGGTTCGTGTTGAGACTTAAAGGCGCGCTGTCTTTTCCCATTCCTTTATAGAAACGTTTTCAAACACAAAAACAAAACACACAAAACACCCGACCATCTTAAACTCCACTGTTACAAAATCAAACCACTTCGCAAAAAGCTGATCAGGAATTTTCAAACATCAATTAACTTAAGTGTTCAACCACATTCAATTAAAAAAAATCATCAATTGTAAGTTGTTTTTAACTTTCTTGGAGTTTTTGTAATTTAAGCTACAAATTGTGATTTAGGATAGAAATAATTAGTTGTTTAATATTTTCAATGTTAGTGAGTCATAAAAAATGTGTTTGAAACATCTTTTTTATGATTAATGACCATTATTTTGAGATCATTTGTGGCTCTGCTTCGCCATTAATAAAGCTTTGAAATTGTAGGTCATATCGGAAATGTATTTTCGATTTTCATTTTAACGTTGAAGAAAATAGGTAATGCATTTCCGGTTTTAGTTTGTTTCTATTTTTCCTTTAATTTTGAACATTAGTCCTTATGTTAACGTTTGTTTTGTACTTCTACAGGAGTAATGGTTGAGAAAGCATCTAGGTTGAGGCACGACAGGCTTGTACAACATGCTTCTGTGCAGATGGAAAGGAGTCAGGCATCCTAGACTCCTTCTGCCTTTAGACAGGTTGTGCACGTACAACAGCCTCAGCCTCCGGTGTTTCTGTTTCTACACCGACTTCATCGTCCTCCCACAGCAGGTGTGATTCTCCAGTTCATCCCTCCTCGCCTCTGTTCTCCCGTAGACGCACTTCCTCACTGATGGTATTTGAGGCGGTAAAGGCATCTGGTTCTCAGCCGACACCAGAGATCACGCAGCCACAACCTGCATCCTAGGCACCTGAGCCAACACTTGAGTCGACACCCCAAACATCTCAGGAACTTGAACAGGCACCTGAGTTGGCACCTCAGGTGGCACCTGCCGCGCCTCAGAATTTTGGGGGAGGACCGTCTGATTTATCTCTGATGCCTCTGTACCTGGACCATGTTGCTTGACATATATGAGACGAAAAGGTATGGATTTTGACTTGTTCCTTCTATTACATTTTTATTATGAATTTTCGTTGAATGAATTTTGTCAAACCATATGCAGTAACGTGATCCGCTGAAGGTCATTAATCATGGGCGGAAGATCAGTAAACTCGAAGCCCCTCTTGAGCCATGGTTTGATGAGTTGTTGTTGCTTACAGGGTTGAAAGATTTGACCAAGTGTGGTTATAACGTCGTTAATTTGGGTATGATTAACACTTTTGTTTAGAGGTGACACCGTGAGACGTCGTCATTCCATCTATTACATGGTGAGATGACGATCACACTAGACGACGTCGCGTATCTGTTGCATCTTTCGATTAAAGGGACATTTTTAGATCATGACATGATTGACAAAGAGGAGGCGTTGGATATGTTGGTAGAGAAATTGAGAATTACCCCTAAGAATGCCTTCACCCATGGTGCCCACGTCAAATATAGTTATTTGAAGACAGTGTTCACGAATGAGATAAGGCATGCACATGAGACTGATGGTGATTCCGAGCAAGTTATCATACACTTGAGGTTTGCTATGAAAGCTTACCTTTTGTTTTTGGTTGGAACACAAATTTTTGTGGACACTAGTTCCATTCCTTGGAATTCTATTGTATCTGCTCCTCCCCTGGTGAAATGCATAGATATGGATGTCTTGTTTGATGATTATGAAAATCATCTTGTTCTACATGAGGCCTGGAGTACCTTTGCTCCAAATGATTGGAGCTACGAGGACAATTATATCATATAGTTCTTCAGGGTGTCTCATCCATACCTGGTACATGATGCTCCGGGAAATCCACCGACACCAGCTCATCAGGAGATTCTAGAGGAGGAGCAGGCTATAGTCGATCATGTCACTGATGTGTTGCCTAGGTGGCGTCGTATCATGGACATTGCATAACAGGGTATTGATGAAGGTCTGTTTTCTGATGGCTCTGATGTTAGAGGTGTTCTAGATGTTATCATGGCAGAGGCTCAGGGGACTCTGTAGTATATGAGGTAGCGAATGAATGCCGGGAGGGTGATGGCCCGACTCAGAGTTCGTCATACCCAGTAGTCTGTGTTGTTGTATATGTATTTTGGTTATCGTTTTTCTATTGTATTTGGATAATATTTTGGGTTACCCCATATATTGACTACGGACACCTTTTGTTACTAATTAGTGCTACCTATTTATATATGTCTTTATTATATATGTCTTTGTAGTATATTTGGTTGTATACGTCTTTGTATTCAATGCGAAATAATACGCTAGAATACCCACTTCCAGGATAAATATTTTCGGTCTTGTTTGCACATAAATTGAAAATACATTTTCGGTACACTTTACAAATATATTTCCGATTCTTAGTCAAATTTAACAGAAAAAAAATATATATCGGAAATATATTTCCGATTTCCCATAAACATTTTAGAAAATACATAGAATATTTCTTTACACTATAGGATGAAAAAAATACTAAAAAATTTATACAATCATTTATGAATTTAAACTCAAAATGTTTAGTTAAATTTAAAGAGATCTTTTGCAGTTTAGGATTTGCTCACACCAAAACTTATCTTGCACTGTTTTACTTTGCTTACCTTCTCCGGCGATTTACTAAGCTATTTTTTTTGCTCTCTTTGCAAATTTCTTGAGACTAGAAATCTTTAATCTAATAAGTACAATAATTATATATGAAAAATTACTTAAAATTTACAATTATCAACTCACCCTAACTTAGACCTTTGTTTGCACTCAAACATAATTCCTATCAAAACAATTTAAAATAAGGCTCAAACATCAACCGTTCATTATTGGCTTTTAAAGTTTATAATAAATTAAGAACTTTTAATTTAAATCATTTCAGATTTGTATGATTCATGAAATACAAGTTCAAATTACAAATTTCATAATATCAATATATTTGTTATTCCAAACATTTCAAATTACATGCTAAATCAAAATGTTATTCCAAACATTTCAATCAACAATCAATTATTCAAAATCACAATTTTCATAAAACTGTATCACTTAAGTTGGTCATGTATTTCACTTAATCTGTAAAACAGGATCATAAAATATATACAATGAATCATATATTATTAAAATCTTTCTTTAAGTTGTAACGTGATTAACCAATACGAAATTTTTTGTTTTTTCAAGAATTCAAAAAACCTAAGAGTATTGATCTGAATGTAATTTTATTGATCTGAATGTTTTGTGATATTTATGCATGTTTAATTCTTATTATCTTTATGCTTGATTCGAGCCCCGATCAATTTCAAAATTAATAAAAGTTTATTAAGTCGCGGTAATGTTTAGTAAATGAATCTTAAGAATCAATATAATAAAATAGTTAATAGACATACCAAACTTATTTAGTCAACTTAAACATAAGTGATTGTGCTCATAGCAGTAAATTTAACAAGTTTTTACTTGAAGTGTAATTGAAGTGTAATGATATTTATGAATTCTTAAACATAAAGGAATCTTAATAAATCTTACTTATTTTCAAATTGTTCACAAACACCGTAGAATTTAATTAAGATCATTTATTTTCTTTCACTACACTACATCACAAAGTTTTTAAAGGTTCAATCGTACCAAAACATTCTCGTTGAAAATTTAATAATAATATTAATTTTTTTGAGAATAAATATATTGAGATAAAAAATAACGACAACTAAAATGAATGATTTTTAAGTAATAAAATAACTTGTTATTGTAAGAAAATTCACAATAAGCAAGAGTAAGATAAAAGATAAATACATAAAAAATTTGTTTATCTAGTTG